AGACGATCAGCCAGAAAGAATAATGAAACTGCGTCGGTGTATTTGTCGCTGCGCCAGCATTGCCAGATCTGCAAAAGAAAAATGAGTGAATGAGGCTGCACAATAATTTTTACGAAACACAGTGCTTATGCCTAAACAGCAAACAATAAATAAATAAATAAATATCCGTTGAATCTACAATGGTTTACTATCAACTGACAGTTAAATACATAAACAGATTAAAAGGGGAGGGAGAACGGCTAAAGTTCTGGAAAATAATCAATGAATCACTTCACACAAAGAGTGAAGCAAAGCCACTTGTAGAACAAACCATGTACTCTAACAAAATGAGATACGCTAAAAATCTATTTCTGCCTCAATGTGTCGACAAATCGCGTTCCTAGAGCTCGGATAGTGGAGCAATCATATATTTGAGTCGTAGCTGAGAAACAGCTGCAAATCTGACGAAAAATTGGAAGGAATCAGCACTTTAAAGTGGTGAACGCATGTAACCATCAAACTGTCAATCTGGCAAATCCCAGTATGCTGTCGTTTGTCACAAGCGGTCGTTCAATTTAGTTTTCTTCAAATAAAGGCAGTAGGATTTTGTTGCTGTTCCTTGTCATTGGCTAAGCGAATCTGTCTTTCATTACTTGAAAGAACGACGACTGCATCATTAACCATAATCGAGTCTTTATACTGAATTACTAAATTTCTGCAGTACAAACGGCATATCCGTTATTTGAACCTTCTTCCAGTAGCTCCACATCGTTAAATACCCTCATATCAAGGTAGAGACGTTGGTTGGCATCGGAAGACCGCCGTCCCCCTTTCTACTTAGCACTAGCTCGTACGTTTGGAGTCTTCTGTTGCTGAAAGCACAGCTGCTGAACGACAAAAACGACTTCGGAAGCCAATCAACCTCTCTACGCGTTAAAGAAGTCCGCGAGAGAAGGGCCACAACATAATTATATTGATCAATAATCTGGTTATCAAAATCATCAGAAATAAACCGTGTTTTGTGATGACCAACGTCTGAACTAAATAATCAATCTTCTTATATCAAAACACTTAAGGACAACCGTTACTCATCAATTTCCTCATTGTATCGCAAGACATGGTTCCGACAGTGCTAAAGTTCATGTAAAACAGCGGGAGAACTGCAGACAGGTAAGTACAATACTCTCTTGTACTGCGGCTTTCAAAATCCATAACGAGCAACATGCTGCTGTTTCTTGAAACCATCATCGGCTGTTTCCATAATTAGAACGTCTATGATTTATGACGTCTGCTTATCTGTGGCCTTTGGGATAAGGCGCCAGTTACTGCATCGCAAAAGGAAATATTCCTCTCTCAAAGAAAATCCACCTCTACTTCGTTCCCCCATGTTGTACGCTGGCCTCCAGGTCGATGTCTGCCGTGGTTCGACTCCCATACGAGATTCGAACTGGCCGGAGTAAATGATGCAATTCTCCATCAGTCTGTCTAGCAGGGAAAAGTTCCTTTTTTAATTTCCACATTTACTGAGGTCACCTGTGCCTGAAAGAGAAGAGAGTCATCCCTTACACAGTCCTGAAATTTAGCCACTTCAATGCGTCTAAGTCAACGCTGCTGCACGTTCAACTAGCGTTCTTGCTCCATCGTTAGAACAACTATCTCTATTCCATAAAAGAGAACTGAACTGACGGTTGAAAGGTACAGGCGAATCTTAGACCAAACACAGGACAGATTTTCAAGAGGCACTCGAGGCCAGAGTGATCCTACAACTATGGCTGAATAATGCCATCGCTGAAGATAATGTAGACTATACACTCAAATCTGCGAACTTCTTGAAGCTCTTCAATTCCCTTTTACACCTGTAGATCAGCTGTGCCGCATAGTTATTCATAACTTCTGACTTTGGAGCATTAAGAAAGAGGCCGGCTTTCGCAGCTGTGCTGCATATGGAAGCCGTTAGGTGTCATACCCGTTACCCTTACTGATCACCAGGGGACTATCATCCTTCTACTGCCCATCTGCAATATATCTAGTCAGATATCTTGAACTGATATTTGATATCAGCATCTCCTCAAGAATGACGGCTCCGAACTTTGTCAGGGTCAGGGTGCGCACCGCTTGGGTCGAAAATAATGCTCTATAACAACAGTAAAAGCAGATCACAATGGCGAACCAATCAGATAGCTCGTCTTTGACCCTGACAGCAGGCATTGTTCTTGCATACATGCATCCCAAAACGGAAACGAGCAAAGGTAGACCATGGGATTTCTAGATTTTCTACATGGTCCGATGATATACAAAATGAAATATAGCTTTTAGGTCGAGGAAAAGGGCCATTGAAGACAAGTGGAATTCGGCATTGCTCAGTAATCCTACGCGGAGTGAAACTTTGATCAGGGCAGACGTTTCCTGCTTGCGAACAAACCGCCTTTTTTTGTGCATAACGTGCGCTGAAACTCGCGAAACCACGATATTAGCAGTGCAAGCTGCAACAACGATGGCTTGGGAATCCTTCTGAATGCGAAAGAACTCTGATAGCAAATCGGCAAACACAATCTTCTGGCATCTCTGCCATCTGCTT